TTAAGCCAAGAGAAAAAGACAAAAAATAGCAAAATGATAAATCTGAACCCAATTATACTGATGATTACATTTACAATAAATGGTCTAAACAATCCAATTAAAAGGCATAAATTGTTAGAATTATTTTTAAAAGGCAATATTGAACTCTATGCTGTAACAAGAATATCCCATTTTAATATAAAATAGACATAAATTAAAACATAACATAAAAATATAAATAAGTTAAAAATAAAAGTACATACCATGTTAACACTATGCAAAAGCACACTGACGTGGTTATATTATATCAAACCAAATAGACATCCAAACAAGAAATAGTAACAATGATAGAGAAATAGGATAAAGGGATCAGTCAGAGACATAACAATCTCAAATGTCTATATAATTATTAACATAACTAAAATACATAAAGCAAAAACTGACATAACTAAAATGAGAAACAGATATATCCATAATTACAATTGGATATGTCAACACTCTTTTATCAGTAATTCACAGAACAAGTAGACAGAAAATTGGTTCATTCATAGAATAGTTGAATAACATTATAAATATCTAGACATCTAGAGAACACTCTACCCAAAAGAGTAGATTACACACTAGTCCCAATTTCACAGAAAACATTCACCAATGTAGACCATATTATGAACCATAAGATAAGATTCAATAAACTTAAAATATTGAAATAATACAACATATGTTCTCTAAGCATATTAAAATCAAATTAGTAGTCCATAATAGATATTTGGAAAACACTCAAATAGTAGGAAATTAAGCAACACACTTCTAAATAACTCATCAGTTAGTAGAGAAATCACATGGGAACTTTAAAAATCTTTTTAACTGAATGAGAGTAAAATTACAATATGTCAAAATTTGTGAAATGCAGTTGAAATAGCAAGTACAGGGAAGTTTACAGTGTTAAGTGCTTATATTAGAAAATAAGAAAGAGGTAAATCAGTGAACTATATTTTCATCTTTAAATGGTAGGGAAAATGCCAAGCAAACCCAAAATAGAAGAAGAAAATAATGAGAGAAAATTTACTTAGAGAGAAAATGAAAAATAGGGGACCAGCAGATGACATAGTGGTTACGTTGCAGGACTTCCAGGTAGTTGACTACAGTTCGAGTCCCAGACCCTGCAGCTTGAAATTCACACCGGGCACATGTGCATGTGTGTCCATGATCCCCAGAGGAGCATGGAGTAAAAGGGATTATGGCATGACCATCCACCTTGGAGGAGTGATGTCTTGCTTTTTGTCTGTGTCTCTCTGGCAAGTGCATGCACTCTACAGCAAAAATTTCTCTCTCTAAAAAAATTAAAAATAGGGACCAGCAGATGGTGTAATTGTTAACATCACTAGACTCCCATGTATTCAACAGCAGTTTGAGTCCCAGACCTGGTGGCTTAAACCTCACACTGGGTGCATGTGTACGTGTGCCCAAGATCCCAAGAGGAGAATGGAGGAGATGGAATTACGGCATTGCCATCCCCGCTGAGGGGGGTGATTTCTCACTGTCTCTCTCAGTTTCTCTGGTGAGTGCATGTGCCCTATAGCAAAAATCTCTCAAAATAAATAAATAAATAAATAAAAATAAAAAGAAGAAAAAGAACAAATAGCAAAAAATTAGTAAAACCTTATCAATAAAGCTGATAAATTACTTGTGAGACTTTCCAAAATGGAAAGTGAAAAAATAAATTGTTAGTATCAGAAATGAAAGGGGGAATATTACTATAGATCCTGTAAACATTAGAAAGTTAATAAAGCAAAATTACTAGCTATATTTTAAAATGTAAAAACCTATAGATCATTTCCTATAGGAAACACAAGAACAGTATGCCAAGAAATTTGACAACGTAGATGACTCAGACAAAAAATTTAACGCAAATAACCAAAACTGACTAAAGAAGACCTAGATAACCCAAGTAGCCCTATCATAAACAAAGAAAGTAAATCTATATTTTAAGATCTTTCCTCAAAGAAAACTGCAGACCCAGATGGGTTTACTGGTGAATTCCACCAAATTTTTAAGGAAAAAAAACTAATACCTCAGTCTTTAAAAGCTTATGGCTTATTTTGGTGATGCACCGTTTACATGTTTAAATTATTATCTAAATTCTAACTCAAGTCCTTCCTTAGAGGACTGTGAAGCAAACAGTAAGATTATTAACCAATGCTATAAATATTTCATAATTAGTAAACTGAACAACTGATTTGGAAAAATGACTGAAAATAATAGAAAAAAATCTATCCTCTAAATTATGGATGTTTTTATTATACTTTTAGTCATGACAAAAAAGCATGATAAGAAATAAGACATGTGCTAAAAAGATAAACCCAGAGTTCATTTCATGTGTAGTCAATAGTTATTTACACATTGAAAATGTTGTAATTGTCTTCCATAAATACCAACATGCTAAATATATAATCAATCGCACAGAGATTGTACGAGTAGGTTAAATATTCCTAATTTAAAACTTCTAAATCCAAACTATTTCAACATCCAAAACTTTTCGCACTGTGACATGATGTCACAGTGAAAAGTTTCATATCCGACCTCACAGGATGGGCCACAGTCAAAATACTGCAATAGAAAAAGAACGTATAAAATTACCTTCAGACTATGTGTGTAAAGTGAAATATAAATTAATTTCATGTGTAGGCTGGGATCTCATTTTTAAGATATCTCACGTCTATGCAAATATTCAAAAACAAACAAGAAAGCTGAAATCTGAAACATCGCTAGACTCAAGCACTTTGGATAAGGGAAACTGAATCTGCACAGGCAAGCCCCATTTTATAACCTAAGAAGAGGGCTCAAGTGGGATAAACATGTTTTATTAGTTCTTTTAGGCAAGACTGTAAGATCATAAACATTTTAAAGCATAAAAACCTACAGGTCATTTCCTTCAGGAGACACAAGTACAGAAAAGTCACATGACTTGCCCCACACCCTGCTTCAGATGAGAGCAAGCACAGGCCTGAAAGGTTCATGTACAACACTCATTAGTTCTTTCCATTGTATCCACTTAACTACTCATGATTTCAAATTGGAGCACAAATAAAACACTGCCTGGCGATGTTAATAAATATCAGAAATAGAGGAAATTATATCAGATTTCAAGGTGTAATTTTTCTATGTTAATAATACATGAAAAGTTGAATGCGCTCTCAAAAAAAAAAACAAGTTTGGTAAATTCTCTTCATTGGTGGTATATAAATATCTACACACTGGCGAGCTAAGCAGCATTATCTAGAAAAATCAGAACAGCACATTCCCTGTGACTGTGCAGTTCGACACTTTAATATACACCTAGAGAAACTCAAATATGTATGTAAGTAGAATGAACAAGAATATCTTTCTAGCATTTTTCTTAAAGAGAGCAACATAAAAGTGCTTGACAGGAAGACACATAATTTGTCACAAATTTGTACAAGAATTATCACACAGCAGTTAAAATGAATGACCTAAAGCATTGCAGTGTAATATCATTATGTAAATATAAAATGAACACTGCATTGTTTATGTAAATTTAATGCAAAATTAATGTAATTAATGTAAAATTTCCCACCATCGATTACCAAGTTAAATAAGTAGTAAAATAGAAAAATACGCTAAATATAAGTAAATACTGAATTCTGGTAGGTGAGTACCAGTAGTGAAGGAGAGGGGAATGGGATTTCCAAGGAGGAGAAGATATCAATTGCAGCTCTAATAGTTTTTTGGTTTTGTTGTTGTTTAGTTTTTCCCTTAGGTTAGGATAGAAAACATGGATGCTGTGTGAAGTAGTTCATTTAAAATATTTATATATATATATATATATAATATTTATATATATATATAATAAATTAAAGATATATATACACACACACACACACACACACACACACACACACACACAGAGGGAGAGGGGG